AACGGAGTAGAGTCAGTTGTTGGCATTCAATGCTCTCCACGGATGAACCCACATCCCCCCAGTCATGCCCCAGGTAAGTGGCACCAGCATCTTCCTTCATGCCCTGGTTTGAGTAAGATCTGGTTGTATAACCCAAGGGTTCCTGTCGGTGTGGAGGTATGGGGAGGCGGTAGATCTTCAGCAGCTAGGACCTAGTACGAGATGACTCTCCGGGCACTATCCTTGGAATGAATTACACAGTTCTCATAGGACTCCAGTTCTGTTAGAACAGAAGTGGCTCACTAGGTGAATTCTATCACATTCACTCCTGCCAGAATGACGTCTACTCTGTGATGTTTTCCTATGCCTTGCTGTTCTTGAGCCTTCAAAGCTTCAGCTAAGCCAACCTCTTTTCTTGGTAAGTCACCCGGCTTCGAGTATTTTGTATTGCTATAAAAAAATAAATGAATGAATTTTACAAGTAAGGACACTGAAGATGTAGAAAAATCCCCTTATCCAAGATTATACAATGATTAGTAGAATGAGGATTTCAGCAGATCAATAAGCTGAAGAGCTGTATGTATTACAGTGTTTCTCAACACCTCCATTCTTCCTCCACTACCAAAACATCAATTCATCCCTTAACTCAACAGAGGTAACACACAGTAGATGTGAGTAAAAAGAGACACAGGTGATTTTGACAAGTGAAGGGAGCACTGAAATGGAACCCTGTCCTGGGAAGGACTTTGAGCTGATTGTGTGTCCTAAGCTTGACTCATCCATTCTCTAATGGATTCACTATGAACTTTCTTCTATCTTCTCCCTAACAGGGAAGTGAAAGGGACAAGGCATTAGAAGGCAGCTATTTTGTTGAGCATCTTCTCAAATCCTCACGATTTTCCTGTGGATTTGTTGTCATTATCACCCTTGTGTTTGTGGGGAGGCTGAAGCTCTGAGTAACTGTCAATGATCATGAGATGTGCAGGTGCTAGAGCCAAACATTGAGGCCAAGTCTGCCAGATGTCAGGATTCACACATGCCTAGGTGTCAGGAGGGGGAGTGGAGGAGGTGGGGGGTGGCTTAGATACACACTCACTGTAATTAGCAGATCCTTTAATAATTCTCACTTCAGGTAGTCAGTAGTGAACCAAAAGCAATGAGCTAGGCTTGCAAGCACACACACACATACACACACACACTCTTCGTTTATTTTTTTATTTGACATCAAATAAGTTGAGAAAATGGTTACAGGTGCTCGAGCATCCCGCCAAATTCTTTACTTAAGGTGCAAAAGAGGTTTACAAGTGTAAATTTCATTAAACAAAGCAGTGCAGCAACAAAACAGAATCACATCAATAATAGTATGCATTGGTAGAAGGGTAGATTTAATCTACCAAACACAATGTGGCTTTTGAGCCTTTTCCCATAAAACAAGAGCTCTACACTGAAGAGTAGGTAGTGCACAAAAAGCATGTTTATAAGCTGTGAAAGAACATAAACTGGCAAAATGTCACTTATGGTTTCAAGTCTCTATGACCAATGACCTCTCTGCGAACACAAAGGGGTCCGTGTCGTAGGCACCTGCTCATGGGACTGTATGTTGTTTCCAGGGTGCACAGCTCTGTACACATATACACATATGAAACATGGATCTGGGCTATGGCAGCATTTACATATTTTAAAAATTCAGGCACATCTGGATGCAAAATAAAAATAGAAATTTGTCTTGAATTTTCAAAGGACAGTGCAAAATTGAAGTGCCACATTAGAGGCAGCAATTACTTATGAAACAATTTTGAATGACTTAAAAAGAGGCCATACTCTTTAGATGTAAAGGCAATGCAGCTAGAAACAACAGTCACACGGATGAAACGATGGATATTTGGGACCAAAGGTAAATTCATTTGCTTCAGTTGAGAATGAGTAAATGTTTTTTCCTCAAAGAGATTCCTGGTTGCCTTGGGAGCTACTGTGCTGTTCCATCTACCTTTCCAATAACTGGGTTCTCCATGCTAATCTGCCTGTGAATATCGGACATTATCACAGTTCTGTAATCGTTCCCAAAGTCCACAGTCCATATCACAGTTGAAAAGTATGATAAGAGATTTGTAACTGCTTTCATGTAGGGATAGGGGTATTCTAAACCAACAGCCTAACACAATAGCACTTCAAAGTAGATGATTTCTATGTGAGACTACCTAAGTGTCATTAAACGCAAATGTTATGGTATCTGTTCAGCTAGCTAAAGACATGGGAAATGCCCTGGTTAGATTAAGGAAATGCAAACCAAGGCTGCACTTACTTAAGTGTTAGATTCTACAATGTAGTTCAGTGGGATTTTCTCTTTGGATGACTTTGTTTCTCCTACTGCTGCATGGTAACTTTACAGGATCTATGCAACAGCCTAAGCAAGAGCTGAGAAGACTATGGAGCCACGCGCTATTCCTTGGACTTCAAAGCTAGGGGCCTGTTTTCTTTCCATAATTAATGCTGCCATTTGGGGAATGGCTGCCAATGGAGTCTGTTGTTTTGGATAGTAGTGCAGATTTCGATTACTAAAACCTGGTGCACACTCCAGGCACCAGAAATGATCTGCCTCAGAATACTTTCATAACTTTTATTACCATAGTTCCCATTCTCCAAATTCCCTGGCCCATTTTCCGATTCTCCCTAGACTCCTCGGGTGAATCAGCCTTTTGCAACTTGAAGTTTCCTCAGAGTGAAAAAAATGGCACAGGTAACATAATCTAGCAGGTCCCCTCCATCCCACAACAACATCAGCTGGAGAAAGCTGCCCATTAGTGGCACTTCAGATCAGCTTCAAAAGAAATTTCCAAGACTTTGAGACTCTTGGGCTAACCTTTCAACCATCTGATGTTCTCTGCCCATTTCAAATGTAGTAATATCTTAACATGAATACAAGCACATTAGATGAATAATGTAAAACCCTCTTAGTGTTTGGATTTAGCTGGTATTACATCATCTATAGTCCTAAAGATTTTTTTTGGTTTTCTTTTTATTTTTTTAAAAGAAAATCTAAGTATAAACATTAAAAAGAACCCACTGACCCATTAGCTACTGTCCAAAAATATTACTACTGATATTTTGGTAAAAGCAAAATTAGCTGCCCTGAATAATTTTCCTGTTCAGGTATAATCTCTGCTACATAAGATTGTCTGTCATTCAATATCCAACAATAGGCATTTGGATTAGTGCTATTTCATCTACTGTGGATACAAAAGTTGATATGAAATGTGATCTTCATTTAAATGAATAATCACCAGGCTTTAAGCATCCATGACTGCATACATGACAAGATACCTTGAAAAATATACACAAAAAGCTAAATATTTTTCTTGGTTTTTGCATGTTAACCCAAATTAAATCCAGAACAGAATCATTACATTCAATTGTCTGATAAACAATGCCATTTCAAAAAAATATATATTATACTATATAAGGTGCCTCTTCAACAAACAAAAGAATCGTGCTCTTAAACATATTCTTAATGCAGATACATGAAATTATCTTCAAATTTAGAAACACATATGTGAAAAATAAAAACAGTTTATTTGGCCCTCCCAGTCCCAGTTCTTTGGTGCTCACTTAACTGGGTAATCCAAAAACAGTGAAACACACTTAACCAGACAGAGCACATGGAGAGAGCTTAGCAGCTCACCTGGGTCTTGGCTTACATCATCTCTCCACAGGGTTGAAATTGTAGGCAGTGAAAGCAATAAAGGTAAAAGTTTACTTTCTTTCTAGTGAACTAAAAAATAGTAACTTCTAATTGCACTAGAGAAGCCAAGACCCAGGGCAGTCCTCCCTGTGTGTGGGATAAGCCTTTTTTTTTTTCCAAGGGTCGAAGGATTCCTGTGACCCAGTTTTGGCCTTCTGATTATCCTGCCTTATGAAATGTAAGGACATGGGCCATGGAGAGTGTTGTGAGGGATTCTAAAGCCAAACCCTGATTTTGGGTCATCTCTAAACCACCAAGGGCACATGAGTCTGACCAGGTGCCTGGCAGCCTGAGAGTGGTGAGTAGTCAGATTCCAGCTATCCAGCCCTGCTGAAGGAACACAAGTACCCACTACACTGCTTCCCATCTTGGCTTTGCCAAGCAAGACAGAATGGGAGAACCACTCAGTGTGTACCTGTGCAGCCCTGCTACTAAGTGCAGGGTCTTGGAAGCTGCCAGCTGTGCCAAATGACTCTGAGCAAAGGCTCAACATGCCTCATAGTTTGATGTAGTTCCTATCCCACTTCCCTTCAGCTCTCTCCTCTAGCAGACACAGTCATGATACACATTTATTACTTAGCCCTGTACCCCAGGGCTTAAAAAGTATCACCAGGGTGTTGGCTCAGTGAAATGTCTTGGGTCATTCATTGGCTGGCTGATACAAGGATGAGCCAAGTAGAGCATCCACTATGGGTAGATTCAAGATGCCCCCTCAGAAACCCCCATCCCCAATGCTCCTCAACCCCTACTTGATCAGAATAGGTCTGAAAGTCAACTTTGCTCCAATTCCCGGGAGGAGATTTTGTTTTGAAAAATGAAAATGAAGACAGTAAAACTGGAACCCATTCCTTGTATGGTGAGATTGGCTTGGTCGACAGTAGAGGTGACTGATTCTTTCCACTGATTCTTTTCCATAAGTCCATGGGAACCAAGAGTGAATGGGAACCCAGGACCTGTTTGCGGTGCCATAGAATGCCAGCAGTAGTGTTTGAAGCCTGAGGTGCAAGGTACTAAGGTGCAATAGTCTCGACAGGTATGGAATCTCCCCCCTCCCCCATGCATCTTGTATTCCTATAGGGGCAATGGATCAACCAAACCTTGTGCTAGTCATGCAGTGAAGTGACAAATGTCATCACTGTCAGCAAATGATGCATGACTATAGGAATACAAGAGAATGCTAGACCAAACCCTTGAGCTAGCTTTCCCCCAGCCAGCAGTGAAAGGAGTCACTTTAAATTCCTTCCTAGTCTTATTCTTAGAGCCATTACAATTATACAGTCTTATTCTTAGAGCTTTTCAGAGGTGATACTGTCTCTTCCCCAGGCCTGGCTCAACAAGTAGATTAAATGCACATAGTCATCCCATGGACTGAGTTCTGTCAGCAAGAGCTACAGGAATCCTTTTTGCTTAATCATGGAGCAAAGGTGGGGAAAGAGCTGTTTCCAAGATTTAGCCCTGGAATCCCTTTGGCTGTTCCCAACAGAAGACGTGCCACTACTAAGAACTGAGCAAGCAAATGAATGGCCACTCATATTAGAAAGCCACTGGTGGTAGATGCATGCTGAACTATGCGCTGGAGACAGAATTCCACTAAAGTGATACATGGCATGGGTAAAATGCTACAGGGATTCGCAGAACCTGTGGGGATGTGGGGAGCTCTCAGATCGTGCTGGGGAAGTTCTCAGCCTCTCCGGGGATATAATAAGTTTGCAAGGAATGTGCCGAAGCAGAGCTGGTGGTCGTCATCTGGCCTTGAGGGGGCTCCTCCATGGGCACACCTCCACGGTTGGTTGGAGCATGCAGACGGTGGGCATCCAGCATCTCCAGCAACAGGTCATACAGGGGCACCACATTCTTGCACTTCATGTTGTACAGATGCTCCATGCCTTTGTTACTACAGAAAAACAAAGAAAGGACCACATGAGACAGCCTGAACCTCAGGATGGCTGGGCTCTCCAGCAAGCCAGAGCAAGAACCCCAGAGAGACTCCAATCCTTCTCCACTGTTTAAAGAACCACTTTTAGCTGGTGGCTGCAGAGGCAAAAGACTCTGAATCTTCAGCCTGGGTTTCAAATGTATGTGCATAGCTGTCATCTCCCACCTCCTGTAAGGGCAGTCCTACTCTCCTAACCACTCCCTTCAGCCTCTTCCAGGGACTTTGTTATGCAGGTGACCCGAAGTGAGACCTCCCTCTGTCCCCAAAATGGGGGAAGCCGACCTACCTTGAGGTTCTAAATGCAGTTTATCTGTCTCTAATGGCCTCTCACTGGCCTCAGCAGGAGATTGAGTTTTCTGTGTATGCTATGCAGCATCCAGAAATTCTGCCTCTGTATCCTCACAGAGCTCATCTTTCTCCTATTCCCTTATTCTCCTCACAGAGCCCATTGTGCTGCCACTTACAGGAATTAGGCTCTCCCACATGTATGTGATCTATACCCACTGTTAGCCTCATGCCAGTTGCACCTTTCCTTCTATGAGATCTATAACCACTGTCTGAAGCCCTGGCAGCCACAAATACTGTCTTGCATTACTCCATCCTTATCACAACTATCAACCAAAAATGTTGGCTGCCTACAAACGGCCCTCAAGAAGTTCATGGGAAAAGCACATTATTTTTTAAAATGTGAAAAATAAACTGATTTTACAATTCTATTGTCAACTTTTTTTGTAATTCCCCTGTATTTTTGTTTAGTATCCCCATCTCCCATCCCTACACACAGATCATGTTTGGTAAAGACTCAGAAAATGGGACAAATGGTAAGAGGGGAATGTAGGCAAATAATTTTTCCCTCTCTCTTTTTCCTCCACCAGTTATAACACTGTCCCCACCACACCACTGGGGTGGAAGCATGAAGGAAAAAAATATTATCCACCTGGATTTTTTCTCCAAAGGAAATATACATCATAAGTAGGTATTACCAATATGTCTTAGAAAGTTACTACATCACTAGCAAGGGGAAAGCCACTGAGAAAAGCACTGGGTCAAACCAGCCAGCAACACAATCAGATGTTTAAGTGTTACTTTTGTTTTTTCATTTAAAATGCTGTCAAAGTTGAATGTCCCTTGGACCCCTGGACCCGCTGCTGTCTTCTTTCTAAAACCTAATGAATCATATTTACAATCAGAAGAAACCCACTGTTGCATTCTGACTAGCACCATATGGCTGAGTCCAAGCTAACAAAACAGAGATCTGTGATTAACTGCAATAAGGCACCAAAATATTTGCATGAGTATGTGTGTGTGAGAGAGAGGGAGGCAGAAAATTTTGAGCTTTTAATACACTAACCACACCTCTCCAGTTTTGCACACAATTCCAGCTGAATCCACACAGTTCTTTCATCACAGCTGCCATCTGTCAAATACTGCCAGCATAATCCATCAGAGCTGGATATGTACTGCATGATTATGTACTGCAAATATGTGGGGCATTAACTAATAAGGCATGCTAAGTGCTCGTAAGCAGAAAAGGAGGGTAAAAAGTCAATCGTTTCTATCAACAGCAACAATGAGAAATAACTTTTCCCTGATAAAGGAGTATGCCCCCACGCATTTTCTCCAATGATTAGGTTACTGGTTTACACAAAGGACATGGCAGAGGGCATGTTATTCTGATCCCTAATCCCTTTACTGCCTATTTACTGTGTGATAATCAAAAAGATAAAGGGGCAGCAACCTATGGAAACGGCTACTGTGATGCAGACTCTTACTCTACCTGGCAAATGCGAGTCCTAAGAACAGAGATTACAACCATTCCCTCAACATTTTGCCAAGGGTGGAACCCTCTCCCTTGCGAATTCTGAATTTGTAAGGCAGTGAAAATGCTGCCACAATTCATTTCTTCATCCACTCATCTGTTAATTTGTTTGCTCACCGATAATACTGAGAACCCATACAATGTGTAAGGCTTTTTGTTTGACACTTGTGGCAATACAAATATAAAAAAAGATGCATCTATTTCTAAAAGAAGTCAGATTTTGCAAGAGTGGCTCCAGAAAGGATGGCACCTGTGGCTTTGATGGAACAAACTTGAGCCATAAACTCAAGATTTAAAGGCTCTGTATAAATCAATCCAATGTCTCTTGTGCACTCTAGTCCTTCACTCCCAGTCACTAAGAGAGGGAACTCTTGTTCCATTGTTTGGGTGCCAGCATGAGACCAAGGTCACTTGGGCTCCATCTAGTGTGTCATCACTTCATGCCATTCTCATAGCCTTTCTGGAATCTGAAGAAAAGAACCTACCACTCTTCATTTCTTCCCTGGTGGATCAGCGTGGCATATGAGAATGGCACACCCTAGGCTCTTGGCAGTCAAAGCACATGGCTAACATTGTCACAATTATGTACTCTGCTGGTATCTCTACTTGAGTCTTACAGAAATTCCCTTCTGTCTGTTTTGCCCAACATTGCATTAGGTGGTACTGGATACAAAGAGCATGCAAGACAGATGATAATTTCTTCACATGGTTTAGTATCATGTAAGACAGAAAAGGGTCAGTTGTAAGAGGGAAAACAGAACGTAAGTCTCAGCTAGGTCAAATGAATCAGAGGATGCTTCCTACAAGGAGTGATACCTAAGCACTAATAGGTTGGACTGATTACAGCTCAAAAAAAATCACAGCCTCTGCCAGGTTTTTATGATCCTTGATTATACATTCTGCCATGTCATTGGCCTAACCAGGATCATCTCACCAACCTGCTGAGCCGTGGCTTAAAGCTGAGTCTTCCCCTCCACATGTCTGACATATGTATGAACCGAGCTGCAATAAACGGGTCTGTTCTGCCAGTCTGCACTCTATAGTGTAATCTCCCAGGTGCCTCCTACAACAGCTTATCATAGGCAACAAACTCAGACTCGCAAAGCAGGATCATGAGGAGTAGCTTACACAAAAGTAGGGATGTATCTTTCAAGTCAACAGGAAGCCACTCAGGAGTTTTATGTCACAGGATAGAGTGATTTGATTTGGCTTTAGAATAATCATCCCATACAACCACATCATGAATAGCAAATTAAAAAAATAACCAAAAGCAAAGACAGGGAGATGTGGTGGGTGACCAGGGCAGACAGCCAGCAGGAAACGGTGATGACTTGAACTGAGATATTGGCAATGGGGTGACAAGAAGGGGGTTGAGAGATATGGGAGAGTCTGCATTGACTCTAAATGAGGCATCTGGCCTGAATGAAGTTCGTCATTTAGGATTTTCCAGGGTAACTAGGATGACAATGAGGTGAAAAGAGCCATGGGTGTGCTCCGTGCCTGCGAAGTAGGCTCAAAGAGCTCCCCTGATTGGCTTCCTGTTTCCCCTGTTCACTGTATATGCCTCCATACACAGCCCACGTGCTGCCATTAGAACATTCATATGACTTCAAACCAACTACTGCTCTTGCCTCAAGCTCCTGGCAGACTCAATGCTCCATTCTTTTACTCCCCCCCTTCCAGTAGCATTCACACCTACTGTGTACCAGGAGCAATTTCAAGGCTTAAGTCTTGCAAGGCCAGCGCTCCCCGAGATTTTCAGCAAGCTCTGTGTCTGTCTCTTTTGGGAACATGCATAGATGTCTCACCTCATGTGGCGGATGTGGGAGAGGATGAGGAGGAGCTGGGCCATGCGTCGATGCTGTTGTTGCAGAGTCAGACCTGCCTTGGCCATCAGGTGGATCAAGGTGTCTATGATCTTGTCCAGGACACGGTGGATATGGTCCTTCTCTTCCAGAGACTTGAGGGTGCTGGACAGAAAGGTGTACACTCCTGAATGTGCAGGGGGAGAAAGAAAGAGAAAGGTTCATAGAGGATGTGGTCTAGGGGACCTGGACAATCCATGGGACACAATCTTGTCCTTGCATAGTGTAGGACAACACTGGGGATGTTTAAGACCCACCTGGGAGCAAATAACCATGTGCAACTCCTAATGAACAAACATGTCTGAGAGCATCAAGGTACCAACATGGCTGCCTGTGCAGACAGAAACTGGGCACCAGGGCCGTAACAGAGATGGCTACTGCTCCTTCTCAAAGAGATATCAGCATGCACTGCCCACGTAACACTGAAACAACCCTGAGAGGAAGCCATCGCTGTAAAATGGAGAAAATGTAGACAGAGAATGCATTAACCAACAGAGGTAACTTTCACAGCAGTCACCAAACTCAGACTGGGACACAGTCTGCTGACTCCACAGCCAGTAAAGAACATGGAGGCAGCAGAAACTCCTGGTGAAATTCACAAGAGAAATTGAAGAAGGACTGATATATGAAAGGAAAGTTAAGTTTCCAAATAGGATTTAATTTGTTTCTCTGTTTAGAGTGAAGTTTGACGCCTAAGTACTTTTCAACCTCAACTGAAAGGTTTGTGATATGAGTGGACACATGGGGACTTTGGGAACACTATCATGCGTGTTTTCTCATGTTTTTTCTTCTGATCTCAGGGCCACACATAGACAAGGTCAAAGTCAATGTGATCATGGTATTCCAGGTTTCTAGATAGCATTAGTCTTACCCTGGACACACAGACTTTCTCTATATGAACTATAGAGGCTGTAGGAAAGGATACTTTTCCTCCAGGGTTGCTAAGCTGGAATAATGACAATTGTACAGGATTCTTAACATCCTTCCTCACATCACACAGAGTAATAGCTGTATGTATCTCAGCAGCAGAGATGGTGGGAGTGAGAGGGTGTGAGGAAGAGGAAGGTGAGGGAGGGAGACACAGAAGCAAGGCAAGAGAGAAGGAAGGAGAAAAGAAGACAGCAAGAGATGGAAATCAATCAAGGTTGCAGTGCAGGGTCCTACTACTTGACTGTTGTCATTTGACCTTAGTTCTTTCACAGTATCCTTCCTAACATATGAATCAACAAATTCCCTTTTGCTCAAAATAATGCAAGTTGGGCTTCTTTTACAACTGAAAGGGTAAGTTGTGTGCTCAGCATGAGGATGATGAAGGTGAATTAGAGCAGGGCAGGATGGGTCACAAAGAGAGTCTTCAGAGCACCCATCTACCCCAGAAATAAGCTACAGCCTGCATTGTCACACTGCCGGCCAGGAGCCAGATGGCACAGAACGTATCAAACTACATATTCTGTACTTTGACCACTGTACATGCTGACCACTTCACACACAATTTTTTTTCTGTCTCCACCCTCTTTAGTGCCTTCACATTAAAAGCTTCTAAGTGTTTACAGTGGTCATGTAGTGAGGAATTACTGCTCCCATCAGCTTCCTGGAGATTGGCAAGAAAAACACCTACCCAGCATAATTTACACTAGATGGGGTTGTCATTGCCTAGAATGGAAAATATCCAAGGCCTAAACCAACCCAAAGAGCCAAGGCTTAAACCAACCCCAATGACAGCAACACAAACAGAATGCTGAGGGTTTTAGGAGTTTAGCTGCTGTAGAGTACAATAATACAGTTTCAGGTATGATCCAAAGCAAACACAGCTCAGAATGAGTAAGCAGCAGAAAAATTGCTTGATGACTTCATTATATTCCATCTGGACTGCTAAGAGGGAAGAACGTGCCCGTGAGAAAGACAGGCAGACATCCAACAGCCATGGGATTGGCTTGGACGATGTAGGTGGCAGGGAGGTATGTGCTGGGAGCTGGAGTCTGGGGTGGCCTTAGCTGCAGTCTGCTTCTGCCTCTCCAGGTCCTGTATCATCAAAAACACCTCAGCCCCACATCCCTCAGAGGCTCTGCCTCTGGCTGAACACCCCAGCAAGCCATCCAGGCCACAGAGATGAATTAGTCCTATTGGAAGATGTACTTTGTACCAATTTCTTTGTCACCACCCAGGATGCTGCCCTCATTCACCATAATCCTTTCCTTGTTCAAGGAAACCCAAAAATCGAGAATCCAAGTGCTTGGGGGTTCTCACAATGCATGCTCCTGTGTGCCCAGTGTTAAAGAACACTGGGATAGAATTGCAGCAATTCCTAAGAATGGGCTTTCATGGTGTTCTTTCCAAAGAGGTAAGAGACTTGGCACCCAGGCTCCAGCAATCAAACCTTCTCTTGGGCTGGCAGTTCCCCATTCCCTTCAGTGTGTACATAACACATGTGTCTTCCTTCATCTGGAATGCATTTATTGAGAATTATTGAGTGCATGACATTATGAAGAGACAGGCATTCCTTTCAAGTGTTAATGTTTGAAAGGCAGCTATAGCCTGTGGAGAGCAAATTTTCTTATCATGGACTTTGAGGATACGAGCCATTCTCCGAGCAAGCCTGTTTCTCCAGGCCTGTTTTGGCACCAATACAGCTTATCATCTCATTCTTGTCAGCAGATGCCTCCTAGCTGCACCAATATACTTACACATAAAAATACAGCACTGTTGAAAATGCCAGTAATTGACAACAGCAGCCATCATCTTTTGGTCTTTTCTGGCAAAAATCAGTTCTAGTTTGCTACCTGTTGCTCCTGAGAAGTAACTGGGGAGCTGCTACAGCAGCACTAATTCCCATGTTCCTGGTCGCCTGTGCCAGCCCGGATGGGGTGATACCTGCTTTCCCAGCAGCACAAGGCCAGTAAGCAGGCAGCAAGGACCCGGAGAAGGATACGTGCAACCAGACAAGCTTCTGCAACTCGGGGGCCTGCCTAACATCCTGAAGACAACAGCAACAAAAAAAATCTGCATGTTGTTAGCCAGTCTCGAAGCTTGGCAGGCAAATCTGAGGTCCTGAGCACTCAGCATCTTGTCCAATCCTGGGTGTCTTGGGCAGAGGCCATGGGGAAAGGAATGGGGAGTAAACCACATGGCGTCCACATGCACAGGGGTCTCCCACAAGTTCATGGGAATGCGGATGATTAAAGAAAAGCTGCACATGGATTTCAAACTCTGCTCCAGAATAAACCAAACTTCTAATTCTGCATTTCAGGAACCCTTTGAAGTATCTATCAGAGAGCTGGTGACTGAGTGCCTCTTCTCCATAACTTTGCCTGCTGCTCGCTCTCACCTCCTCATTCTACTGCAACACACTTTCATTCCCATTTTCAGGCTTCACCCATGGAAACCCCTTTTCCATTCCTCAGTGCTTTCCCAGATAATGAAGTCAGCTGGAGGAAGGTGTGCCACACTACCACTGCAGCCAATGCATGACAGAGCAGAAGCCAGCACTGCCACCATCAGGGGACCCCGGTCAGCTCCAGCATGGATCTCCCCCAGGGGCCACTGCTGACTGTTCAGGGAGAACTGAGGAATGCTGAGGCTAGCAGCTTACCAGAAGCACTAGGACAAATATTTCAAGTAAGGCCATGCTTTTGTTATTCTTTCCAAAGGGAAGAGTGATTCAACAGACCCTGAGAGAATTCAGTTTGTGACTGCTTCATTTAAAAAAGAAAAAAAAGTAAAAGATCAAAAGGAAAAAGATAGCAAAGAAAACTCCTTACATTGACGGCTGTGAACAGCCAGTGCCAGAAAGCTGCCACTAGGCAAGGATAAGAAACAACTTCCAGTGCTTAGAGAAGATCCAGTAGATAATTGGCATGTGAGCCTTTTGGGTTTTCTGCTGGAGATGCCTCCAGTGACTAAGGGGCTGTTGCCCCAGATGTACTGCCTATGCGCAGTGCTTTGCTCTTAGGGGTGATTCTCTCCCCAGCCTGCTGTCTCTGCTGCCACCCCTGGGAAGGGCTGTGGTGGATATCCTGGAAGGACAAGGACCTTCCCCATACTCCCTCGATCTCCTACTGGTCTAAAGTAAATGCAAATTTGAAATGACAAGCTTCAAAAAGCTTTTGCAAACCTAAAACCAAAAGGTCCAGGATTTGAATTGGTTATAGAGAGGGAAGTTAAATGGAATACTTTCTCTCCAAGTCATTAAAGTTTTCACTTCATGCAACCTGCCATTGAGTGTATTACAGAAACTGTAACTGTCCATTCGGTTGTAATGACTTCAGGAGAATGTAGAGGTACTACAGAAACACAAGTGCTTGTAAATGTGGTGGCTATATAAGGTTCTTATGAAAATTAGAACTGACAGGTATAAACTAGTACACATTGATGTATTGAGTTATTGCCTCCGAACCACCAACTGAAATTTCACTTTGGAATATAGATCTGCTTTGGTTCATCTACTCCATGGAATACTACTCAGCTATTAAAAAAAACAAAATGCAGTTCTTTGTGGCTAAATGGGCACAACTGGAAACTATAATGCTAAGGGAAATGAGCGAATCCCAAAAGATTAGATACCACATGTTTGCCTTGATTTAACCTGTAATTTTTTGTTTGGTTGTTTGTTATTTTTTGAACCTGTCATTGATACTGTCTCAACCCAGATGTTTCGAAGAAGGGAACTTGCATTATTTTTAACATATTGTTTACCCAATACTATGTCAATTAATTCCATAATGTTGTATATTGATACTGAGGCCTTGTTGGGGCTTTTAACTGACCGGATCTTTACTCTGTTAGACCTATCTTCAGACCATAGAAGGTCTCCCCAAGAGGCCACTGAACTTATCTGGACAATAAGACGCTGAACTTTATGCTAGGCAAGTGTTTGCAAGCAATGAATCTCAACTGAACTTGAACTATGGTTATGCAACAAGGTGGAGGAATCCACCATGGGGGGAGGGGTATGAGAGGGGTGGGGGGAATCCCCAGTGCCTATAAAACTGTACTACATAATACAATGTAAGCAACAATAAAAAAAAAAGTACATGTTGAAAGCATGTAGGGGCTCTTTCTAGCTCTCATCGAAACTGTCTCTTTTTCACATTCTTCTTGATAGCTTCTTGTGTGTTATTAATTTAAAAC